CGTCACACCTGTTTTTGCCATATGAAACACCCCCTCGCTCCTCATACCGCAAGTATCAGTTAAAAATCGACCAACAATACAGCTGTACCATGTAGAAATGAGAAACACAACACAAACTTTTTGATTCTGGGTATCTTTTCTAGGCCCGGCTTATTCACCTTCTTATAAACTGTCAGGCAAGGCAATCTGACGAATAAAATTGCAATCTATAATCCTATTGGCAGGCTAGTTATCCACTGACCAATAGGATTATAAATAATACATTTATGTTGTAGACAGTTACCAGTAAGTTTATCTGAAGATGAATAAACTGGGCCTTCACGAGACAAAATAATTTCCAACGTACGAATATAGCAAAGTACCGAAAAAGCGTCTATTTTGCTATAAGCAAAAGCAAAGATAAGCCAAATCAACATAAGTATGGATTGCAGGTGCCGTCAGGTGATGATCTTTCTTTTATGGGGTAAATAGAAATTACGTCCTTCCTCAAAATGGTCCATGCTTAAAGCGGCCTTTTGAACTTTCTTATGTTTGGTTGGTTGTATAATAGTCATATGTATGTTGGTATACATCTATACACGCTTTTTTAAATGTTTTGACGTCATTCTTATGTATGTTTTTGGACAGTTTTATTACACGAAATCTGGTAAATAACATCTATGTTTTTTGTCTTGAGGTACCTATTTTATCTTCTTATATTTTGGTAAAAAGCTGCTTTCCAATAGTTTTTGTGAAATATAACGCAGATTCAGAAACAAGTGCTTTTTTGACTTTTTTTGGCAAGTTGATGAGACATATATGGTAGTGTGACGGGTGTGACATATTTTTTGGTGGTAGTATGGTTTTGGGCGCAACTAGGATGCATCTGGGGTGGCCGTCGATTGTAACTGTCCAAAGACATACATAGAAATGACGTCACAACATTTGAGAGAGCGTGTATACCAACATAAATATGTATGACTTTTATACAACATACATAAATAAAGTTCAAAAGGCCGGTTTAAACATGCACCATTTTGAGGAAGGACATATTGCTATATTTGTACACTGGAAATTATTCTGTCTTGTTAAAGAAGATACCAGAATCAAAAAGTTCGCGATGTGTTGTGCTTATCATTTCTAAATGGCTCAGCTACTCAATAAAAAAAAATATATATGCGTTTGGAAAAACCTGTGACCACTGACCACTAATACAAAGATTGAGGTATGTACGAATATGGTTTGTTTAATATAATTTTTCTCCATGATGACCGTTGTTGGTTGATTTTATCTGTTTTTAATTGATTTTTTTAAACTTTTGTGTGCGCAGCTGTAACGTTACCGTTTATTTGTTCTCAATAATTTAATTTATACCTACTTGACCTAATAATCAAAACTAAATGAAATGAAGAAAATGGAAAATGCATCTGATGATGCTGTCAATGAACTTAAAGATAGAATTTCGGGTCTCACGATTGAATCATTTGAAAACCAATTTCATAAAAGGATTAGAGAGAAGAACCCAAGATTTTGAAGATGCCCAGCCTAGCCTGTGCTGCTGAGCAGCAGCTTTCGGTAAAATTGAACAATCAGGAACTCCAAAGTTCTGAACTGAATAAAAAAGTAGCTGCATGAAATGTGACCAGTGTGATTTTGTTGGGGTGAATAGACTCAACTAATTGTGTGTCGAGAGAGATTTTGAGTTTTCTGCGATGTTTTCTTCAAGCTCGAATCTTTTCATTTGTATTTACCGCTCTTCCAGCTCGAATCTGAATGTGTATTTTTCAATGGATTGCTTCTCAACGAAATTCCTCTGCGGTCATTTCCGATATTGGCGGGAGACTTGAATCTGAATCTATGTGATCAAATTCAACCAAATTTCCAGTACTTAAAAAATCTCCTGATTTCATTTGATCTTAAAATGCACGTTGACGATTTTACACGGGTCGCGGCGACTACTCTGGATTATGTTTTTTCCAATTTGCCAACTGAATCTATAGACTGTTGTGTTAAAAACGCTGGTCTGTTCGATCATCATGCTGTGTATTTTCAATTTGAGTTGATGGAAAATAAACCCCTTGCAGGGAAGGTCTAGAAAGTTAGGCGGATTTTTGGAGCACGCAGTCACTTAAGCTTTTATGAGGGCTATCTCCAACACCTGTCTGTGACGGACTCTATTTTTAGAGCCTATGGTTGCCGAGACTAGTTCCTCAATCTGTTTTTCGTAGCATTAAAAACAAAAAAAAAAACTTCCCCAACCCTTCCTGCTGTTAAGTTTTAATGTCCTTGCTGGTGCCATTAATGCTTCTTTTCAATCTGGCAGCTTTTCACTCTTCTTGAAAAAGTCAATTGTAATACCTTTCTATAAAGCGGGGGAAAAAGAGTTCTTATCAAACTATAGACGAATCTCCTTACTCCCTACACGCAGATCATTGAAAGCCTCCTCAAAGCTGGATTTCTTGAATCATCATCAATTGCTTTCACCTTCCCAGTTTGGATTTCAGTGTTCCAAGAACACAAATGATGCAATTTTGGAAACACTATATCTCAGTTTAAATGAAGGTGAAGCAGCCTCGGCAGTTTTCTGCGACATAGCGAAGGTTTTCGATTGTGTTGATCACGAGGTTTGGCTGATGAAACTTAACACCTATGGCTGTAGAGGCACAATTTTGCACTGGTTTAGGTCATATCTATCAGGGCGCCAGCAGTTTGTGGTGTTTCAGGGTGAGCAGTCTGCTGTGGGTCTATTAATTTCTGGATTTCCGCAGGGGTCCCTTGCTCTTCGTCATCTATGTTAATGATTTTCTACACTCAATTTCTCAAGGCCATTTTACATTATTTTCAGATGCACCACAGGAGTCCCATGAACATTCGTGACGTTGTTGGAGTTGAACTAAGGGCAGTTAGGGATTGGTGTGAATCCAATAAGCTCAGCTTTAATATCACCAAAACAAATATTCTAAATTTTAAGGGAGACCTGGGTGAGGTTTCCGTTGGCAGCGAGGTGATCGAGACTGGCTATTCAGCGAAATTTTTGAGTCTTTTTGTTGATTCCAGGTTACGGTTTGATTGTCTTATAACAGCGCTGTGTAACATCCTTGTCCGGCATACTTTCATCGAGGTGTTATATTGGCCGAGTTCGGTTTTGACTTCTTTTTCGTCGATTTACTCCAAAATTTTTACAGGCATGTGACTGGATAAGACAGTTTCAATTTACAAATCACGTGCCTGTCAAAGTTTCGGAGCAAATCGACGAAAAAGATGACAAAAACGAACTCGGCTGCTGTCCGGTCTGTCAAATCTCATTTACCGTGCGTTCGGTATTATGATCTGAGTTCACCGAGATTGAATTTACCGTTCGTTTATTTAAAAAGTGTGCTCGCTGCAGACTCATTATTCGTGTTCGTTTATTGAAATTTCTAGCGCTTTGATACAACTGCTCTGTGCGTTCGCTGGTCTAGTGATTACGGCTCCGCTTCAGCACGCTCGGCTCTTTGAGCAAAATACCGAACGCAAGCTTAGATAGGATTATTGCTAGAGGCGTATATTTCTCTGTTTTGGAGAGCCACTTAAGATATGGCATCTGTTTTTGAGGATCTTGTGTGACATACCTTTCTCGACGGGTCTTCGTGAGGTATATGTGTAGGCCTAATCCTAGGCTAACATGCAAGCCTTATTTTGTGACCGAGGGGATTCCGACCGGCTTGCATTTTTATTCTCGTGTCAGCATGATTAGCATTCAAAAAATATAAAGATCTCTGATCAAACATCAGCCAAATTCCCGACGCCCGCGGCCGCATGTCATCAATTTGCCTATACGCTCAACCAAAAAAATCTATAATTTATGACACAAAAGATTACCATTTATTATTTTATTTACTTATTATTACCATTGGTATTTTTCACTTATTACCATTGGTATTTTACACTTTAGTATTTTACTCATAGTCATAGATTTAATTGAGGCCCGCCCTATGCATTGCATACTAGCATATTATTGTATATTAGTGTTTTATTTGCATGTATTTTTTACAATAATTTTATAATGTTACTCTTGTTTTACGAGGTACTTGATTTAAATTGTGTTTACTCTTGCTTTATCTTGTGCTTTACATTCTGCATTGTTTGCCAATAAAGCTATATTTGATTTGACTTTCTAAATTACAAGACACTCTTGCACCTCCTCATTGAGTAAAAGATCCTTCAGGCACAGGGAAAAATTTTACAATGCGGATGATACCACAATATTCTGGCACAGAAAAATCGCTTGACAATTAAATTGAAACCAGACATAGTACAAGATATTTGTCCAACTTAAACAGGGCGCGATTCCAGCATGCTCTGTTCTAATTATTTTCATTGGTACCTACTATTCATAGGTAGGTACTATTAAAGACATTTTTTATTATCTAAAACAAGCAATTCTACCTTTCTTTTGTGAAATAATTAAACAAAAAATCCTCCATTTGCAACACATCAATAATAATTTTCCATATACGAAAATTAATCAATTAGCTAGTGGAGAAATCAGTTCTCGTGGAATTACTATGTTCTAGCGTTCCGAAAATTAGTAGCCTATGCCGCAAACGTGTTTAATTGAAAATGGAATCACCTACTCAGATTTTTGCTTAATCGAACACATTTACCCTTGAAATTGGCCAACACGGGCTAGCAATTTCAATGGAGCATGAATATATTTATCATTTTTACAAGATGCTTACTTAAATCAATCGCTTAAAACAAGAAATCAGCATCAAGGTTTTGGGTATTGTAGGATCTGTGCAATCGTAATGCTTATAGAGTACCTAGGAAGAGTAAACTTTGTTACATGGTTGACTGAATTCCGTAAAATTTGTGTTTATTTTGGCTCCAGAATAATTGGTATGCAGACACAAATAAGTATAAACCTAAATTTTACCAGCATTATCTAAACAACATTTATACCCGCGCATTTCGATAGAACAAAACCTACAACGCCCTAGATTCAAACACTTGGAAGTTAATAGAGTTTATTATGTTACCTGAATCCATGTTGAAAATCCTCAGAAAGGCCAACAACCTTCCATCCACTGGCCTCGGACCCTTTTTAATTGAAAACTCTGCCATGCTCCAAATACCCAACTTCTTTAAGAGCTCCTGTCTTTTTTCCTGTAAAGGGTCCGACTTGCTGATGCCCAATCGGATCCAATAAATGTCGTTTTCGTTGTCCTCATACACAAACCTTTAACAAAAAGTGGCTTTTACAAGAAAAATTCATACACTTTTGCTTGTAGGTATGTGATTTTCAAGAGCTTCACTATTTGAGAGCGTCCACTTAATTTCATATTTTGTCTGAGGATTAAATAAAAGCATGTTTCTGTCATAGGCGTTTTTTGATTAAAATTGTTTTGAAGTGCTTATGGCAGGAAATATTATGAGCCAAAAAAAAAACATAAATTGGTGCTTAGAGCGCTTAATTAATTACTTACCCGTTGTGTACGAAAAAATCAGCGTTTGTACGTACACCGTAAAATATAAACAGTTGCTCTCCAGCTTTGAAATCTCTAAAAGCTAAACATTCGCTGCGATCTTGTTGGGAATTGAAATCAGTTGATATCTGTAACTCAATAAGGTTAGTACAATTGAAAAAAAAATTGTAATTTATTAATCTTACTGTTCCATTGGTATGATTACACAAATCCCACAACGGTATTAGGGCATTTATCATACTGTTATCATCTTCCGAGGGAATCATATTTTGTCTTGTCATGACTGTGGAAACTGCCCAACTAGAACAATATAAATGCTTTTATTGAAAATAACTAGTTTCTATAAAAGTAAGGGATAATGAGTGAAAATTCAACACTTTGCAATATTACATCTTTTTTTTTTTAACAATGACTATACATATTATTATTCCCATTTTTTATCGACTTTTTACTACATTTTTAAGCTGCGATTTGATTTGAAAATATGCTATTCAATAGTTTAATCTGTATTATAAATTCGGAGGGGTAAATCGCCAGCCAAATTTTTACACTGAATACATGGAGTACAAAGGAATATAAGAATACAAACGAATTTATGAGACTACGTGAAAATACATGCGATTGCAATGCAATACAAAACTCTACAAAGGAGTTCATGTAAGGTACCATTGACAAAAAAAATGCAGTCTGTAAAAGAACGTCCATTAGGTATAGCAAATGAAAGACTAAAGAGTTCAATCGTTTTGCATACTCAAATATGAAGGAATTATACATAGTTGATAAAAATCAACATGATACGGCAGCCCTTTTTAGTTGAAATGCACCGTTACCTTATAAACCCAATAGGAGCGTGGCAAAGTTTAACCATGGTATGCTTTATCTACTTCAGACTTTAAAAAATTGAGTCGGTATTTGTTGTTCTCTATTTTAATACATTTACTAATAAACCATTGACGTTCATAGGCGACAGCGCAATATTTCTACATTCTTATGATTTCTGAGATGATTTCATTTGAAGTATCTTCTTTACTTGAGGTTTCTGAATGCATTTCGCTATCTGATAGTTCTACAAGAGTCAGAAAGCTTAATGAAAATCCAAGCCACAGCGACTAGAAGCTAGTGGCATGTAACAAAAGACCCAGGATTCAGTGACCATTTTCCCAACATCAAATAATGATATTGTCTGAACAGGAAAACAACTGGACTGGGACATATTATATACCATTATACAAGATGCGGCAGATAATTTCATCCCAAGAACCCCAGAAAATACTAAGAATAAAATTGGAAATCCTTGGTGGGACATTGATTATATACAGATGTTGAGACAAAGAAAATTAGCTTTATAACCAACTATAAAGCGCACCTTAACATAGAAAATTACATAAGCCGTCAGCACGCCATGCCCAGACCAGTAGAACTTTCAAAAAAAACTAAAAGGAAAAATTTTAATTATTTTCTCGCACCTTGAATAGAGACTCTAACATCAAACAAAAATTGAAAAAAATAAATAAAAAAATTTACAGGAAAATATATACATGGGGCCACTTCAATAACTCCTAATCACCATAAGATTGCAAATCATCAGTGAGATGGCACCTGTAGACATAAAACCAATGAACTTAGAACCGGATTTCAGCATGGATCCCATTAGAAATAAATCCCACTAATATACACATCAACGACATGAACGCAGCACTGACAGAAAAAAAGTCTCCGCTCCAGGATTGAACTAAGTTTCATATTCTATGATAGCCAATCTTCCTGAAGAAGCCAAAACGAATCTACTTGTCACAATGAAATCCTGGCAGGCAATACCGGGTCCTAGCCACCAACAAACCCCACAAGGATCTAGGATCCTAATCTCCCGGAAAGTTACCGCCCTATAATATTAGCCTCATGCACTTCAAAAGTATTCGAAATCATGATCACAAACAGAATTAATAGAATGGTCAGTTGAAAATCGGAAAATTCTCTCAACTTTCTATACAGGCTTACAAAAAAAAAAAAAAAAACAGCGCAGCACAACAATCTGGCAGACATTGTCACACCCACCTAGCCTTCACCCACAATGAATCAGAGCGGTGGTCCTATGGAATGGGCTCTTTCACTAAAATTTAAATACGTAATTTAGGTATAAAATCCCAAAGGAGGGACTATTTTAGGCACATATACCAAAAAAAAAATGTTCTACAAGGTTAAATAAGTTTTTTACAGGCATTTTAAACTACCAAAATTTGAATTATTTAAAAACGCGCCGATTTGCTGACGTCGCATAAATATTTTTCATTTCGCTTGTTGTTGCAAAGAGCTGTCCGCCTCTGCTGTATTTATCCTGTAGTAAATGCAGGTAAAGGTTCGAATGCGCTGTTGTCGGTGGTGACTAAATGTAGTGCAACGTAAAATAAATAAATAAAACTAAACATAGAAAATTATATTAAATTGTGTTTAAGCATAATTTCAATAAAAATGTTATAAAATCTTGAATCCATAACTAATTAATTTAACTACTTTTCATGATATTTTGGGAACATTTCAGAATTAAATCTATTACAAATTTTCAATGTTGACAATTAGTGGCAACACGGTCAAATAGCGAGCTGCGACGTCATAGAAATAAATTCTGGGTTTTTATTTGGAGGTATTTCTTTTTTTTCTGTTTTCTCAAGAAGGACTATGAATTTTTCAAAAGTAAAAATACAGAAAATTCTGTTTTTAGTTGTTTTATCCAAATATGCCAATTTCAAAAATTAGTGAAAGAGCCCATGGCATTTCCTATTCGTACATGAAATTGGCTTATTAGCAATCGACGTTCGTTTTTGTTGGTAATTTTTTGTGTCATCTGATTCGTGATTGATAAATAAGGATGAAATTATTCTAAATGGGTATTAAAAATACTATAGATCTAGATTCACAATCTGAATTTGACGTTGTCAATATTTATAAATTACATTGAAAGACTAAAAAAAATTCAAATATTATACCTACAGAATTCTGTCAAACAGGAATTTTTTTATCAAAAACACACAAGGCCAACTCATTGGACCACCAACAACTTCCAAGGGGCTGCCTTAAGGTTCCCCCTGAGCACAATACTATTGAATATACAGTGAGTTCATAAAGTCCCGCATAAATTCATTATTTTGGAAACGGTAGAATTTTTGAAAAATCGCTCGATCACGTCAATTTTGTTCTTTTGTTTGAAATTTTTCGATATATTTTTTATCATACAGGGTGTCTCAAAAATAGCTTTGCTGGTATCAGCTTTATTTTTTCAAATGGTAGGTACCCCCTGTATAATATGACATTTCTGGATTTTGCGGAAAATTCTAAAGTATGTTTTTTTTTCAAGTCAAAAATTTAGTAACTATTTTGGCAATACAAGCCTTTTCTACATAAAAAATTTGAAAGCATTGACAATTTTACATTGTATTGCCAACATAATGTTATTTTGACTTTTATCTTAAAAAAAAAAACAGATTTTAGACATATTTCATGTACAATGTCATATACCTATCTTCAACTGTTTCGGAAATTTTGACAGTTGAAAATTGAGTTTGACAAACTGTAAAACCTGAACGGTTGATTTTACAACAAAATCGTTGATACATTTTTGTCTTAGTTTTTCATAAACTATCATTTGACACCAACTTTGTGGTTAATCCATGATTAAAAATTCCAGTCCAAATTTAATCTCCGGTTTAATTCAAAGTTGGTGTCAAATGATAGTTTATGAAAATCTAAGATAGGAATGTAAAATTGGTTTTCCTCTAAAATTAACCGTTTAGGTTTTACAGCCTGTCAAAGTTCCAAAAAGTCAATTTTCAACTGTCAATATTTCCGGAACAGTTGAAGATTGCTATATGACATTATACATGAAATATGTCTAGAATTTTCCACAGAATCCAGATATGTCATAATATACAGGGAGTACCGTTTAAAAAAATAAAGTTAATACCAGCGAAGCTATTTTTGACCCTGTATGATAAAAAATATATCGAAAAATTTCAAACAAAAAAAAGATTGACGTGTCTGAGCGATTTTTCCAAAATTCTACCGTTTTCAAAATAATGAATTTATGCGGGACTTTATGAACTCACTGTATACACAAATCAACTTCTTGAAATTTTGCCTAAAGAAATAAATATAATGACATTGTTTTATTAACCAGAGGAAAAACATAGGGCAAAGGGTATAGACAAAATTAATGCTCTAGATCTAGTTTCACAATCGCTTACGACCAACTACTTATCTCTCTCAACACACAAGTGCCAAACAATCTTATTTATTAAAGGGAAAAGAAGAACAAACTATCCTCCGGTCCTCATACAGGGAAAACATATACAATATCAGATTCAATTAAATACCTAGGAATGGTACTAGACAAGACTCTTAATTGGAACAAGCAAATAGAATATACAGTGACCGGCAAAAAAATTGTAACAAATGGAAAAATATTTTATTATTAAGATATCAAAAAAAATGTTACGTGAGATCAATTCAGCATACCAATTGACACATAGACGTAAAATCGAATCCTGAACTACTTTTTCTTTTACATATTTAAGGGAAACTTTTTAAAGCCACCATGACTGTGGTCACATGACATTTGTCACAGTGATTTTTTTGTTGATGGGTATGCTGAATTGATCCCACGATTTCCACGTACAATTTTTTTTTATATCTTAATAATAAAATATTTTCCAATTTGTTGCAAACTTTTTGCCGGTCACGTACAGTGTGCGCCATAAAGTTGGGTACATATGGGAAAATTCTTAATTATTCCTTTTTTCAAAAACATTTTTTGGGGGATCGTTTAGGCATGTTCGATAACCAAAAAATCGATTATGACACATGTCATGTGATTATCGGTTTAGCGGGAATTTTTTAAAAAGTTGATATTGATGTCGAAAAACAGGTAAATTTGGCAAAATATCAAAAAAACTTATAAGAAAAAGTTGTTCAGAATCGAAAAAGAACTCCACTTGCCGATTTTGAAGCAAATCAGAGAAAAAAAAATAAAACTAATTATTTTACCCATACCATTAAATGGAAATTCGAAAATAATAATCTTATTTCAAAAATAGCTTTAGTCAACTAAACTACATAAGTTTGATATCAAACGAATCGATTGTTTTGCGAAATACACACTTGAAGGTCATAAATTAGAAAATACCGTCCGGTCGTGTCGCTATAACTGTACCCATGTCCCTTTTTGCACATTTTTTGGTCATCAGAAAAATAACATGACATGTGTCATAATCGATTTTTTGGTTATCGAACATGCCCTAACGATCCCC